TTTGGCGATAATTATTGAAATAATTATAATTCCAACAATAAAAATAATGAAACCTATTATTCAGCGAAATTTTCTCTTTTGAAAATGATTATATCTAGAGTAATAAATTATTTTGATAATATATTATAATTCGTAATATATATATACATACAATTTTCGTAATCGCGTTGTATCAGAATTAATTTCAACAAACTAAAATATTTCAAAACAAAAAAAAGAATATTGTTTTTTTTGTGTCTAATAAATTACTTCATCAGGTGCAACTTTGTTATTAATGTTCATAGTTTTTGTTTTATCTAAACTTGAATACTTTTTTTCAATCTAAAATAACGACAAAAAAATCTCTTTATTTTTCCTTGAAGATCATTGATATATTTTGTTAATTGATCAGTATAAATCAAAAGAAAAAAAACAATATTAAAATAAAGTTTTGGTTTATTTTCATATGAGACAGTTAAAAACAATGTGAAAGTGATCCATCGTTCCCTTACTTGTTATTAATGCAATAGAAATTATTTTGTATGAATTAAATAAAAACAAGTTTTGTCTTAAATAATCAGCTCAGAATATGATAACATCTGCAACAAAGATATTAATTTTATTTCCTCTTTTCAAAAGTAGTTTTAGATAAAATAATGACAGATGTAAGTTTTGATTTTGCATTAATCTAACAACACCTCCAGAATAAAATATTTATTATGATTATTTAGAAAAGTAAAAATCAGGGAATGACGTCAAATGCTTTTTAATGGAGATTGAGAAGGATAAGATCTTTATTGTTAGACATATGTTGCTTTTATGAATGCTTCTGAAAAAAAGTACATTTAGTGACGTCTTTATAATTTTTTATTGTTCTCTTCTTTGCATTTCTACATTATAAATCATTTTTTGAAATCAAAGGTATTACGACTACCATTAGTTTTTATTCTTTTACATATTCATAGGTACGGTATGTGAGATATAAGAACAAAATTTTTTCTTCGATGTTCTTATCTCTCTATTCTTTTCTGTGCACAAGTAATTGAAATGTCATCTGAAAATAAACGATAAAGGAGATAGAACTATCTTATTCATGTGCATGAAATTCGATATATTGAGGATCGGATGAAGAATTCTTGAAAGAATATGAACTCAGCAAAAGAAGTAATGTCTGTTTCGGAAAATAATATAATCGATATGCTCGAAGTCTTTCGATTGATTATCAAGGTAAAATTGGCATAAATGTTACAACTGAACTAAGACTAAAGCACTCTAGCCAATTGTATGAGTTCGAGATGAATGAGAAAGAGAAGTTAAAATTACTTTTCAAATTTTGCCGTTTTTGAACAATGATAATAAAATTCTAAGCATAAGAAGCTGTTCAAATTGAAACTTTGAGGTCGACTTTGATCAAAAGAATATATTCCTGAGAAAATGCATGAGTACGAGCGTGCATATTGATTCTTCATCTATATCCACACAATAAGTCAATGATATGAGATTAACGTTTCAAAGCTCTCTTCAACTTCATCTTCGTCATGCTCCAAAGAAAAGACCGAACGGAAGAAAAAAGAGTATAATCCATACAAAAAGAGGTAATAATACAGCCAAAGGGGTTCACGACGACAACCCCTCCTCATATTAGCAGTTCTTCGACAGCTTCTAGTATGTCCACCATTTGCAAATTCTGGAGAGGGCTTTTGTTAGGTCTCAGAAATTCTCATACGTCATGATAAAGGATTTATTTG